GATCCGCAAGCGGCCCCGCAGGAACCGCCGCAGCCCCGTGTTGCGCGAGATGGTGCAGGAAACGACGCTGACGGCCGCCAACTTTATCCTCCCCCTCTTTGTGCACGAGGGCAGCGAGAGCATCCCGATCTCGTCCATGCCCGGCGTCTCGCGCCTCGGCGTGGACACAGGCCTGCTGGACGCCGTGGGTGAGGCCGTGAAGGTGGGCGTGAAGTCGGTCGTGCTCTTCCCAAAAACGCCGGACGAGCTCAAGACAGCCACTGGCGAAGAGGCGTTCAACCCGAACGGCCTGGCCCAGAGGGCCATCCGCAACGTCAAGCGGGCTTTTCCCGAAGTGATCGTTTACACCGACGTCGCGCTGGACCCCTACAACACGCTAGGCCACGACGGCATCGTCCGTTCCGACGGCGTCATCCTGAACGATGAGACGATCAATTACTTGTGCAAGCAGGCTGTGTCGCAGGCGGAGGCCGGGGCAGATTTCGTCAGCCCGAGCGACATGATGGACGGCCGCGTGGGCGCCCTCCGCGACGCGCTGGACGCGGCCGGCTTCACGGACGTCGGTATCATGTCGTACAGCGCCAAGTACAACTCTGCCTTCTACGGCCCCTTCCGAGAGGCGCTCGACTCGGCGCCCGCCGGACTCGAGGGCTGGACCGTTCCCAGCGACAAGGCCACCTACCAGCAGAGCCCGGCCAACTACCGGGAGGCCCTCCTGGAGGCCGCGCTGGACGAGGAGGAGGGCGCGGACATCATGATGGTGAAGCCGGGCCTGCCCTACCTGGATGTTATCAAGGGCCTGTCCGACCAGAGCAACCTGCCCATTGCGGCCTACCACGTCTCTGGCGAGTACGCGATGCTGAAGGCGGCCGCTCTGAACGGCTGGGTGGACGAGAAGAGGGCCGTGCTGGAGGCCTTGATGTGCATCAGGCGGGCGGGCGCCTCGGTGATCCTGACCTACTACGCCGTTCAGGCCGCCAAGTGGCTGCAGGAGGAGGATGAGTGAGCGGGGCGCCTGGCTTCCGTGAGCTCGTGCCGCGGGCCAGTCCTGTGTAGGGGACGCACGTTCCGAGTTTTCAGTGGCGATCCGGAGAATCAGGCTGGAGAGGTCCAATTCGGAAATCGGATTCGGAAGTCGGAAATCTGAATTCGGATATCCGGGTTTAGGATCGTGGGACTGTCTAGGAGGCTCTGGGGCCGTCTTCGGATGTCGGAAGCCCGAAGTGGCGAAGACACAAAGGATTATTGACAAATTTTGCAGGGGGATCAATGAAGTTTTGGCCTCCTGGAGGTCCTCGTGGTGCGCTCGTGGAAACTCCAGGACCTTGGGCCATCAGGATGACATCTAGGGCCGTCTTGGAGTCATATCGAGCCGATCTGGAGGCCATCTTGGAACGTCTTGGGCCGTTTTGGAGGCCCTCTCAGGAACCATATTGGGCGTCTTGGAGGTGAGGGAAGCTCCTTTGTTGGATGCAGCGTTTTTCTGGGCGGGCCAGAGAACTATTGGGAATCTGTTGGCAGACTTATAACCAGAAATTCCAACGCGCCAGGCACCCCTTGTGATAAACACAGGGAGCGGCGGATAGGAGTGATTTTCGGCCTATCCCGCCACTGCGCCTGGCTTGTATATTCGGTTCAGAGGCCTCTTAGATGATTGGGGGGTTTCTTGGAAGGTTTCTCGGGAGCCACTTGCAGGCGGTGTTTGGTATGTTTTGGGGCCTCTCGGGGGCCTCTTTGGGTTTGGCTTGGGCCTTTTGGGAGCCGTCTGGGGCTTTAGAGGGGCCCGTTGGGGCTTCTTGGGGCGGAGAGCTTCAAATGTCAGTTCGAATTCCTCCTCGTGGGGACCTCTTATGCCGTCTTGAGGGCCTCTTGGGTCGTCTTGGGCCTTTTTAGGCCGTCTTGGGGTGATCTTGGGGGGACAGGGCCGTCTTGGAGCGTCGGAGGCCCGAAAAGGCGAGAACGTTAGAATCCTTCAAATATATGAGGGACACACCTTTCGTAATTTAGGCTCTCGAGACCCTCTTGGGGGGCCTCCTGTAATTCTCTTGGGGCGTCTTTGGCCACATGGGGCATCTTGGAACAATCTTCGGGCGGCTCGGGGTCCGCTTGGACCGTCTTGGAGGCCTCTTTCAAGGGAGGAAACACCACCCGGATCCGATACTTGGCGTTTACTAAACGGCCTGGGCGTTTACTAAACAGCACTGCCATGTTCGATTCCTTCTTTGGGTGTGTTTACTAAACGGCTTCGGGTTCTTATGGGGGTGGATTTTTCGTCCTATACTCTTGGGCCCCGCTGGGTACGTTTCGGGGCGTTCCTTCTTGCCTCCAGAGATAACGCGCGCCAGCACGCGCCAAGCCCCGGGTACCGGGGCCCCCTCCCAAAAGTACCCCAATGATTCGCATAGAGAGTTGTGAGGGACTTGAGGACGCTCAACCCAGTGCAGGGCTCATGTCGATTCCTCCGATTCGATTCGATTCGATTTCGATGGCGATTTGATTCGACTTCTGATTCCGATTTGGATGCCGATTCCTCACTGGAGGCCTATTAGCGTGCCGATTTCTGCCGATTTGATTCGACTTCTACCGACTTGGCTGCCGATTTCTGCCGATCCGACTCATTTTGACAGCCGATCCGACTTATCGATTCGATTCTGGGCTCCTCCCGACCTTGTGGCAGATCTGTGGCAATACTTCTGAGGGACGGCTGAGGCGGGAGCCCCACTCTGCGAAGGGGCCGCCCTCCCTCCGTGCAAACCGAGCTTGTTGTTGAAGACGAGCGTTGCGCGGCACCACGGCGAGAGCCCCCTTTTGAAAAGACCCCGCCATCCGTCCGTGCGAGTGTTGAAAATGTTGAAGATTATGAGCGTGCCCTGCGCCAAGGTGATATCACCATGTTGAAAACGATCGCGTCCCCCACCCGTGTCACGGTCGGACTGTTTTGAGACGAAGGTGCGTGGCGCAAAGACGAGAGGCTTATAATTTGAAAACGCTTGGCGCTCCATCTGCGTCACTGCTGGAATTGCCTAGGATGAGTGAGCGCGGTGCCAAGGTGAGAGCCCGGTTTTGAATTCGATTGGCCCTCCATCAGTACCACTGCTGGAAATGCTTAAGATGAGTGTGCGCACCAGTGTCGAGTTTCAAAATCGTAAACGGTGGGGAAGTCTCAGGCGAGACGCCCGGCCCGCCCTAACAAGACGTCTGGTGGTGTAACAGGGAGACGTTGTTTGTAAGTTCGAGCGGTGGAGCATGCATGAGGAGCGGCAGGAGAACGAGGATGAGGTGGCTCCCGACTACTGTCAGAGCGCAACCCTGCGGCTGCTCCGACCACTCGGCGCCCATGGACGGCCTTCGCAGTTGTGCGGGAAAAGCGTTCCTGGCTGCGGTGGAGCAGGCGCGTTGGAGCAGCAAAGGAGTGCGAGAGGAGGGGGAGGAAGGAGAAAGATTTGAGATGAGGATGAGTATTAGTGAGGATGCTGGTGACGGTATCATTGATGATAGTGATGGTGGTGATACTGGCGAGGATAGTGATGATCGTGTGTGTGGTGGTGTTGGGTATGCTGGTGAGGATGATGGTGATTCCGATGATGGTGGTGATGATGATGATGATGGTGGTGCTGATGTTGTTCATCATTGTTGTGACGATGATTTCGATGATGCTGCTGATGATGATGAATATGACGAGTATGAGGATGTTGATGATGACGACGCTGATGATGATGGCGATGGTGATGATTAGGGTGATGCCAGTCATGAGGATGATGATGATGATGATGATCATCATCATGATGATGACGATGGTGGTTGTGGTGGTGGTAATAGTGGTGGTGCTGATGATGACTATGATTGTGATGGTGATGACGGCGATGGTGGTGGTGAGGGTGGTGATGTCTATGACAAGAATGCGAATGACCGTGTTGATGATGATGATGGTGGTGTTGATGACGGTGATGCATATGATGATGCTGATAACGTTGATGATGATATAGATGTTGATGATAATGGTGATAATGATGATGACGACGATGATGATGATGGCGATGGTGATGATTAGGGTGATGCCAGTCATGAGGATGATGATGATGATGATCATCATGATGATGACGATGGTGGTTGTGGTGGTGGTAATAGTGGTGGTGCTGATGATAACTATGATTGTGATGATGATGACGGCGATGGTGGTGGTGAGGGTGGTGATGTCTATGATAGTAATGCAAATGACCGTGTTGATGATGATGATGATGATGATGATGATGATGATGATGATGATGATGATGATGATGATGATGATGATGATGATGATGATGGTGGTGTTGATGACGGTGATGCATACGATGATGCTGATACTGTTGATGCTGATATTGATGTTGATGACAATGGTGATGATGATGACGACGATGATGATGGCGAAGGTGATGGTTAGGGTGATGCCTGCCATGATGATGGTGATGTTGATGATAATCACATGATCATGCTGCTGATGATGATGACGATGGTGGTGGTGAGGGTGGTGATGGCTATGACAATACTGGGAATGACGATGAGGATGATGATGATGATGGTGGTGATGATGATGCTGATGACGTTGATAATGCCGATGATGATGGTGATGTCGGTGATGCATAAGCTGATGCTGTTGATGATGGTGTTGATGATGGCGATGGTGATGATGACGATGAGGATGATGATGATGTTGGTGGCGACGGTGATGAATGGGGTGATGCCAGTCATGAGGGTGATGATGATGATGATAAAGATGATGGTGATGATAATGGTGATGACGATGGTGGTGGTTGTGATTGTGGTTGGGTTGATGGTGAGTATGATGACGATGTTGATGATGCTGACGACGGTGGTGATGACGGTGGTGATGGCTATGATGCCAGTGCAGATGGCCATGATGATGTTGATGATGATGATGATAATGATGATGCTGATGATGGTGATAATGACGGTGATGCATGTGATGATTATGTTGATGCTAATAATGTTAATGATGTCGATGATGGTCATGATGATTGTGTTGATGATAACGATGGTGAGTATGAGTATGACGATGCTGGTGATGATGACGACGACGTTAGTGATGATGACGATAATGGTGGTGATGATGACGACTGTGGTGGCGGTGAAGAAGACTATGATTATGATGACGATGGTGATGCTGACGATTCTGATGGTGATGTGGATGATAAACACGATGCTGATGGTGATGCTGATGCTGATGCTGCTGATGATGATGATGATGGATGCTGATGGTGATGCTGATGTCGTTGCTGCTGCTGATGCTGATGGTGGTGGGGATGATGATGATGCTGGTGATGATGCTGCTGATGCGGCTGCTGCTGATGCTGATGTTGGTGATGATGATGCTGATGATGATGATGATGACGATGACGATGACGATGCTTGGCATGCTGCTGTTGCAGTTGATGATGCTGATGGTGCTGCTGATGATGATGCTGATGATGATGATGATGCTGATGATGATGATGATGATGAGGATGAGGATGAGGATGAGGATGAGGGTGATGATGATGATGATGATGATGATGATGATGATGATGATGATGATGATGATGATGATGATGATGATGATGGTGATGGTGATGGTGACAGTGATGGTGATGGTGATGGTGATGCTGGTGGTCATCGTGATGTGAGGACAATGGAAAAGGGGGAGGGGGAGAGGAAGGAGGACGGGATGGAAACGATGAGGGGGTGTCTGGAAGGGGGGGAGGACGGGGGGGGAATGCATGACCAGGAGTGGGAGCACGAGCAGGAGGAACGGTTGGGAAATTAGCATGCTTGTGATGATGAGGACGATGAGGAGGACGCTTTGCAGGAGAAGGTGGAAGAGCGAGGTCATTAAACGGTAGCAGGATGGACAGGAGAAGGAAGCGGAGGAGACGGAGCAGGAGGATGACCAGGAGAAGGAACGAGGGCCAAATCAGGAGGGAGGAGGGAGGAGAGATCTAGGAGGAGGGGGAGGAGGAGGAGGAGGAGGAGGAGGAGGAGGAGGAGGAGGGGGAGGGGGAGAAGGAGAAGGAGGAGGAGGAAGAGGAAGAGGAGGAGGGGGGAGGAGGGGGGGAGGTGGGGGGAGGATGGGGAGGGGGAGGAGTGGGGGGAGAAGGAGGAGGAGAAGAGGAGGAGGAGGAGGAGGAGGAGGAGGAGGAGGGGGGGAGGGGGCGGGGAGGAGGAACATGGGAGGCGTAGTTGCAATAGTAGTAGGCGCGGAGGAGCAGGAGGAGGCGGATTGTAGCGTATTGTTGGTTCCCTTGAGAGTAGGCGTGACCTTGTCGATTCGGGTGGCGCATATGGGCTCTCCCATCCTTGAAGGCGGTGCTGGCAGGATGAGGGGGAGGTGGAGGAGGACGAGGACGAGGGAGGAGGAGGAGGAAGAGGAGGAGGAGGAGGAGGATAATGAGAGTGAGGCCTCTTGGTGGCCTCTTGTGGCCCTCTGGGCGCATCCTGTGGGCCTCGTGGGGGGCCTCTTGGTGGCATCTGGGGGCTTGGTGGCGTCCACAGGCCTCTTCACGCTGCGCGCCCAGCGCACCGTTGAAGTGTGCGCATGGCTTCCCGTGCGCGTCCTACTTCTAAAACGGATGCAGTTTCTTTCAACGAAAGCATCGCATCGAAGGTATTGGGCGAGAGACGGAAACATCCGGTAATTTCAGCACCTAGGCATTGTCGATTGCCCCATGTGGTGTTAGACCACTACGTTCATTCACAGACGATTGACGCACACAATGTACATTCATGCCGCACTTGACAAACAGCACGTGTGGACACCCACACGCACACACACACACACACACACACACACACGCGCGCACACAGTTTTCCACAGTTTCCGACTTGTAGGCGCCTCTCAATCACCATCGTTTCAAACGCTATCCAAAGACTTCACAGCATGGTCCAAGATGACCTGAGAGCGCCCAAGTGCGGCCCGAGAGGCCCTCAAGACAGCGCGGGAAGCCGTCAAGCTGGCCCTCGAACGGCTCAATCGCAGTACGCGACGCACAGCACAGGCATCATACATCACACAATGCGCAACATGGACACAGCGCACAATGCGCAACATTCGTAAGACCAGCACGCAACACACTTCACACATCGCACGCAGTACACACATAACAGATCACACACACAGACACATTTCACACATGATCCCACATCGCAAAGCACACACCACTCGAAAAGCAAAACGACACACACAATCTCACGTGCGCGCTGCACGCACACGCACACGCAATCAAGCACGAACGCGCACACCGATCACTCATCACACACTCGAAGATGCAAATACGCGCACGCACACACACGCACACTCGCACGCGCACATGCGCTCCAACCCCTACAGACCTGCACATCAGAACGGCCTTCACGAGCCCAAATGGACGACGACGGCGCTTCCCGTTTTTGTCAAGTCAGGTTCTTCTGTGTGGGATGCAACGCGTGACCTTTAGTGCTTTGTGCGAGAGGCACGGACTAAGTAGGCTACGTACCATGTTGGCTATTGACGAGCGCATGGTGGAGGCGATCCGGTGCCTCCAGCTCGTAGGCATTGTCGATTGACCCGTATGGCGTCAGACTCATGCGCACAACGGACGACAAGCGGGATCTTGCTGATCCACAGCGCTGCGCGCCCAGCGCACCTTGGAAGTGTGTCCTTGTCTTCCCGTACATTTTCTGCCGATTCGCGTATTCATAAACCACTTTGTGGGAACGGACAAGCAGTTCGCAGTGTCTTGAGTAGAGAACGAACCATGATGATTGTTGGAGAGCGCACGGTGGGGACGATCCGATGCCTCCAGCTCGTAGGCATCGTGGATTGCCCCTTTTGGTGACAGATCCCCATGCGCATACAGACGCCCAGCGGAATCTTGTTGACCCACTGCGCTGCGCGCCCAGCGCACCGTGGAAGTGTGTCCTTGTCTTTCCGTACATTGTCTGCGGATTCATACACTTTTTTGTTTGTGTTATGCATAGCACGACCTTCAGCGCCCTGAGCGAGACCACGAAGGCTGCTGGAGAGCGCGTGGTGGGGGCGATCTGGTGCCTCCAGCTCGTAGGCACTGTCGATTGCTCCTTTTGATGTCAGATCCCCATGCGCATACAGACGACCAGCGGGATCTTGCTGACCCACAGCGCTGCGCGCCCAGCGCACCGTGGAAGTGTGTCCTTGTCTTCCCGTACACTCTCTGTGGATGGCCTTCAGCGCCTTGAGCGAGAGGCCAATTCTCTGGAGCAAGGGTTCTCTTAAAGGTGAAATTGAAACTTCACAGTGAAATGCATCAATTTAAGCATGGTGGGGGCGATCCGGTGCTTCCAGCTCGTAGGTATCGTGGATTGCCCCCTTTGATGTCAGATCTCCATGCGCATACAGAATCAGCGGGATCTTATTGACCCACAGCGCTGCGCGCCCAGCGCACTGTGGAAGTGTGTCCTTGTCTTCCCGTACATTGTCTGCGCATTCATGCACCTCATTGTTTGTGTCATAAAACGCGTGCCCTACAGCGCCGTGAGCGAGAGGCACGGACCAAGTATTTAGGCTGTTGGAGATCGCATGGTGGGAGCGATCCGGTGCCTCCAGCTCGTAGGCACCGTGGACTGCCGTTTTTGATGTGAGATCTTCGTGCGCACATGCGAACGTCCAGCGGGATCTTGCTGACCCACAGCGCTGCGCGCCCAGCACACCGTGGATGTGTGTCCTTGTCTTCCCGCACAGTCTCTGCGGAATCATGCACCTTCTTCTGCTTATGACATCAAGAGGGTTGATGACCTCCAATACTCTGAGCGAGAGGCACGGACCAACTAGGCTGCTGTTGGACTGAGCACGTAGACACTGTCGATTGTCCCTTTTGATGTCAGATCCCCATGCGCATACAGACGACCAGCGGGATCTTGTTGGCCCACAGCGCTGCACGCCCAGCGCACCGCGGAAGTGTGTCCTTGTCTTCCGTACACTCTCGGCGGAGTCACGCATAGCGCACACTTCTTTTGTTTGTGGCACCAAGAAGGTTGATGACTTTCAGCGCCCTGAGCGAGGGGTACGGACCTCGTAGGCTGTTGGAGGGCGCTTGGTGTGGGCGATTTTGTTGCCTCCAGCTCGTAGGCACTGTCGATTGCCCCTTTTGATGTCAGATCCCCATGCGCATACAGACGACCAGCGGGATCTTGTTGGCCCACAGCGCTGCACGCCCAGCGCACCGTGGAGGTGTCCTTGTCTTCCCGTACACTCTCCTCGGATTCATACATTGCTCTCGCTTGTGACATCAAGATTTGATGGCCTCCAGCGCCCGGAGCGAGGGGCACGGACCACGTAGGCTGCTGGAGGGCGCATGGTGTGGGCGATTCGGTGCCTCCAGCTCGTAGGCACTGTCGATTGCCCCTTTTGATATCAGATCCCCATGCGCATACAGACGACCAGCGGGATCTAGTTGGCCCACAGCGCTGCACGCTCAGCGCACCGTGGAAGTGTGTCCTTGTCTTCCCGTACACTCTCGGCGGGTTCATACGCGTCTCTCTTGCCTGTGACATCAAGAATCAAGAAGGTTGATGACTTTCAGCGCCTGGAGCGAGGGGTATTGGAGGCAAGCGATTAAGAAAATGTCCCCCCCCCTCCCCCGTTCCGGGGGCCCCAAAATGAATGAGTGGGGCAGACTAATAGAATTCAGCCGTCAAACATTGTTTTTAATCGTCCGCTCTCCTGGCGTCCTCCTGCGCTCGTTTGATCACCCGGCTCGGAGAGGCGATCCCGAGTTTTGGAGAAGGTGGTATATTCCCTTCGTGTTTCTCGCGGGCTGCTCTGCCAGCCGCTGTTTTTCAGGAGTTTATCAAAACTGACCACTTGAGATCAACGACCACGATTGGCTGGCGCTCGCTGTCAAGAAAGAAAAAGGGCAATCATACTGGAGCCCCCGCAGTTGCGGATGAGAGGGAGGTGGCGGCGGGGTCGTCGGCAGCTTGCGATGCTCTGAAGAAGCCTGCCGCAGGCGCCGAATTTGTTCCACAGTGCACAAGGAGCCCGCCGAAGGCGCCGAGTTCTTGTCAGAGCAATGTGGGTGGGTCGCGGAGACGTTTGGCCCCAAAAGTTACCCCATGTTGGGCTCGACGCGTCGGGGGGGCCCTACTTATCGCTTCGCAAGAAGCGTAACGAACAAAAGAACCAGAGCCCGACATACACACCACACACACACACCACTCGCTGCAAGCGTGGTACAAGTACAGGGTTAGGTCTCACGTAGTACGATACAGCTATGGTCCAGCCTGTTCCAAGCCAGTGTATAGTTGATATCATATGCCTGGTCACCAGGGTTGGGCCCCAGGGCCGGGACATCCCTGGACGGCCGAGGAGGGCGTCGGAGGAGACCGTCACGGCGCACGAGAGCCTCAGGACGGCCCAACACGGCCTAAGAGCGTTACGAGACGGCCCATGGGATCAAAGAACCAAGGGCCCCTTGTACGTGCCAGGGCCAACGGCACCAGAGGTCCTCAGAGGCTTTAAAAAAGCCTCTCAAAGGCTCCACATACGCCCCATGCGGGACCCAGAGCCCCCCAAAGGCCCCCAAGACGCCACTAGAGGAGAAGAGCTACTGGTCCACATGGTGCGCCTGGCCCCCGTCGGCCCTCCCCCCAGCGTCTTGGGGTGTCGACCGATGATTGATGTTGTTGAACCTGCCATCCGCCCACGTCACGTGGTGCGCCTGGCCCCCTGTCGGCCCTCCCCCCCAGCGTCTTGGGGTGTCGACAGATAATTGATGTTGTTGCACCTGCCATCCGCCCACGTGAGATGAGTATCATGCATCGCGCCTTCTCTCATCTCACTCCTCCTTCTCCTCCTCCTCCTCATCCTCCTCCCCGCCCACCCGACTTGCCCTCTCCTCGCTCTGAAAGGTTTTCCCAGCCTGCGTAGAAAACAAGCGAGGGATCCCGGATATGGGAGACAACACGGCGGCTGGCATTAGTAGTATTCGGGGGATCCAGCGTCGGTGCCAGCGCACGCAGCGGTACACACGGGAGCTTGCCTCGTCATGGCATGGGTGAAGGATACGAAAGATTGAACGTCAGGTGTTGGCGACCTCTGAACGAGGAACACTAAGTGTACTCCCGACCATAAACATCGGATGGGAACGATGATGCACACCACATTGGTATTACATACCATCTCTCGTATTTTGCATACCTAATCATATCAGCGACCACGTACGTCATGATGGTCAAGTCTGGTGATGGTGGTGGTGATGATGGTGATGATGATGGTGATGGTGGTGATGATGATCATCATCGTGATGGTCTTGGTGATGGTGGCGATGATGCTGATGGTGCATGTGATAGTGATCCTGACGGTGATTATGATGATGATGATGTTGATAATGATGGTGATGATGCTGATGTTGACCACGATGATGATGATGATGATGATGATGATGATGATGATGATGATGATGATGATAACGATGATAAAACTAACGATGATGATGATGATGATCATCATGATGATCATGATGATCATGATGATCATGATGATTATGATTATGATGATGATAATGATGATGATGATAATGATGATGATGATGGAGCTGGTGATGATGCTGATGCAATGATGGTGGTGATGATGATGATGACGATGACGATGACGATGACGATGACGATGATGATGATGATGATGATGATGATGATGATGATGATGATGATGATGATGATGATGATGATGATGATGATGATGATGATGATGATGATGATGATGATGATGATGATGATGATGATGATGATGATGATGATGAGGATGAGGATGAGGATGATGATGATGATGATGATGATGAGGATGAGGATGATGAGGATGTGGATGATGATGATGATGTGATGGTGATGGTGATGATGATGATGATGATGATGATGATGATGATGATGATGATGATGATGATGATGATGATGATGATGATGATGATGATGAGGATGGTGGACGGTGATGGTGATGGTGGGTGATGATGATGAAGATGATGATGATGATGATGATGATGATGATGAGGAGGAGGAGGAGGAGGAGGAGGAGGACGAGGATGAGGATGAGGATGAGGATGAGGATGAGGATGAGAATCAGGATTCTGATGATGATGATGATGATGATGGTGATGGTGATGGTGATGGTGATGGTGATGATGATGATGATGAGGAGGAGGAGGAGGATGAGGATGAGGACGAGGATGAGGATGAGGATGAGGATGAGGATGAGGATGAGGATGAGGATGAGGATAATGATATGATGATGATGATGATGATGATGATGATGATGATGATGATGATGATGATGATGATGATGATGATGATGATGATGATGATGATGATGGGAAACAAGCGATATAAATGATAAGCAGGGCAAATGCGGCGACGGAGCGTGGGAGGGCGGCGGGGGCCGTCAGGCCCTCCGGGTGGCCGCCCTCGAGCTGGCCTCGCCGGTGCTCGTGCTGGACGAGCGCGGGGAGCAGCTCAGCACCGAGGAGCGCCCTGGCTTCCCCGCCCCCTCTCCAGGCCGCGCCCCTCCTCCTCCTCCTCCTCCTCCTCCTCCTCCTCCTCCTCCTCCTCCTCCTCTTTTTGTCATCCTTGCTCTCATCCTGATCCCCTGCCTCTCTCCAGGCCCCGCCCTTCGGGTCCGCCGGCTCGGCCCGATTCCTCCGACTCGAATCGATTCGATCTCGATCGGTTCCGATTCCGATCCTCTATTCGGCTTCGAGTTCCGATTTGGATTCCGGTGTTTCAATGGAGGCTTTATTAGCCTGCCGATTTCCGCCTGTTCGATTCATCCCGACTGGGCTGCCGACTTCCACCAATCCGATTTGTGCCGATAGCCGATCCGAGTCATCAATTCGATTCTGGGCTCTCCTGCCCCTCTGGGCTCCCGCCCCCCACACCTTCCCAGCGGGCCGAAAGCCTCTCCTGAGCGGACGCCTGAACACCCCGAGCCGAAGATCTATCGCCCCGCCCAACCAGCACGAGGGTCACCAGAGACTCGGCGCGGCCCGGGAGGGCTCGGCAGCAACACAACGCGCACGGCACCACGGCACGGAATGGCATGGCGCTCTTGGTATAGCATTGCATTGTACCATGTCGCGGCGCATAATGCGATGGGCAAACATGTTCCATCACCATTGCCAGAGGTAGGACGAGGGCGAAGGGGAGGATGGGGAGGTCCTCCTCCTCTTCCTCCTCCTCTTCCTCCTCCTCCTCCTCCTCCTTCTACCTATGGAGGTGGTGTTGGAAAGGCAGCAGGGTCGCGAGGAGTGATTGTTCTCTAGCTTCCTCTAGAATCACGAGTTGTCGCCATCTGACTTTCACAGCACGGCACGGCACCGCGACTCAGCACGGCAGTGAACCACAGTGTCTCTCCTTGCCCACTCCCTCTAAGTCGTGTGCGCTTGTTGCCAGCTATGTGCCAGACATTGTATAGTCAGTTTCCGTACGTAGCCGTTCCGGCTTTAGCCAGCATGTTCTACACAGGTGCTCTCGAGTGATGGAGTCTGAAACATATCATCGTATTGGTCGCACGATGTCTCGCGATGCTGACAGTGGTAAGCGGAGCGTGGTTAGTGAAGATCCTCGTGAAGGTATGGCGTTAGATCTCTCCCGCTCCAGGGCACCCAGCAGGACAGCTGGCACGTTCAGGGACCCCGGCTCCAGAACCACCTGGGGAAGATCAGAGTCAGGTACGTCAGATCCGTGGTTTCACGGGTTCGACCCTTGGCAATCAGGTCATGGAACGTTCGTGGAGACCGGCCCAGAAGGCGAGAAGCCTCCCGATCCAGCAGTGGAAGCTCCAGCGAGCTCCGGGGCTGCGGGGTCGGGCGGCAACAATCTAGACGCGGGCCAGCACGACGGCAAGCCCGACGACAAGCCCGACGGCCGGGACTGGTGGAGTTCCGGGGCGTGGGGCTGGACAGCCAAGTGGGTGTGGGAGTGGTCGCCTGGTTGGTGGCAGAGCTCCAAGACTGACGAGGACGTGGCCTCCTGGAAATCCGAGGACTGGAAGAAGGTCGACTGGAAGGACAACGCCTCGGACAGCAGTAGGCCCAAGGACGAGCAAGGACGTGATGAAGACGGCAGGTATCGAGACGGTCGAGGCGGTGGCAGCTCGTGGTGGTCCAGGTCGTGGAATACCTCTTCTTGGGATGAGGAGAAGTCCAGGGACTATTCTGCGCCGCCGACCTGGCCGGGCATGCAGCACTTGGACCTATACGTTCACAACTTGCGTGCGTGGACGCTCAGGACTGCCTTGAAGACCAGCTTGCAAGCTGATCGAGTACTTGAGACGTTTCCTCTCGAACTCCAGGCCAAATTTAAGACCATCAGGCTATCTCTCGCCACAGAGTCTGGAGTGGACAAGATAGTAGATGACTTGACCTTGTTGTCGGGAGAGAGACCCGGCGACAAAGATCGGCATATGCAAAACGAAGCATTATTCGACTACGTTATTAAGAAAGGCGAAAGCCTGACATATTACGTGATAAGACGTGATGGACAAATGCTGCAGGCAGAAAGTGCTGGCCTTACTCTCACGGATTCTATCAAGGCTCGCTATTGTGAAGAAGGTGCAATGCTTTCTCATCAGAACCGCATCAACCTCGCCACACTCGCTTCGGGAAAGAAAGACTTCTTATCTATACGAGCTGCTCTGCTCAATCTGGACGTCTCGAACGGACAGGCTGTGCTTCCGACAGCGGCGACCTCATCCAGACCTCCAGGAAGGACATTTATGCAAGAACAAGAGGATGATACGACGTCCGCGGCGGAAGCCGACACTTTCGTGGACATCTTCGAGACCGAGTTTAGCGAGTCCGAGGCGGACGGTTTTCTCATAGCACTAGATCAGCAGGACCTCACGGAAGACGAAGCCTATCACGTTTTTGCCCAGCTCGCGGAGACCAGGCGTAAGCGCACCTGGAAAGAATCAAAGGAGATGAAAAACGCTCGTCGCATAGATCGAAACTTCTTCGATAGACGTCGTGGCAAGAAGATTGGCAAAAGCGAATTAAAGAAAAGATCCAGGTGCACAAACTGCGGACAGAAGGGCCATTGGAAGAGGACTGCCGTAACGCTTACAGGTCAAAGGAGGACCGACTCAAGGGGGAGAGCAAGCCGCAGTCGAAGCCGGACAAGACCAACAGTTTCTACTTCAACGTGCGCGGCTTCGACGGCCCCGCCTGCCTCGCGGTGACCGAGGACGAGTGCCAGATATGCGCCGACGATTTGGTTGGCGGCGCGTGGCTGCCCGATGACACCGAGCAGCTCGAGCTCGTTCTCGCCGAGGTCTCGCGGGAGCTGACTTTGGACAACCCGGTGGACTGCGTTCTCGTGGACACCGCTGCGGGATCGGCTTTGGTGGGAGAGCCGAATCTTGAGAAGCTCAGGAAGGCGCTGAACCACATCGGCTACGAAGTTCACGCGTCCTACGACGTGGGCGATCTTCCTCCGGCCTGTGGAGTTGGAGGCAAGGTCAAGCCGGTTGGGCGAGCTTCGGTGCCCGTCGCGATGCGCGGATGGGTGGTGGTGGAATCCTAGTCTTACCACGCGCATGCCCACCGCTCTTGCCCGCCAAGTTCTTAGAGTTTCTCAAGGCCAAGGTCGACATGAGCATGGGCATGATGTCGGTCGGGGTCGGCGAAGGTCGTCGAGAACTTGAGCTACACCGTCTGCCATCAGGGCATCGTGCAGCATCGCTGGTGGGCTGCCCGCCCGAGGATTTCAAGCTCAGCGACGACCTCGCCAGGCGCTTCCCGCCCTTCGTCATTCAGGGCCGTAGGGAGGGACAGGGCGCCGTTTTCGCTAGTCAGATCTCCTTTCCCCCTCCGTCTCTCTCTATGTCTCGACCCGCGACTCAGAGAGTCAGCCTTCGAGTCTACGCAACCAGTCAGATAACTCTCAGAGTCAGGCAATCGATGCCGCCTCGGGCGATCAGGAAGACGAACTCGGCGGTGCATCCGCTACGTCGAGGCCCCCGCTCGCTGTCGGCTCTGCGGCGCCGGGCGAGCAAGGCGGTGAACGGTCTCTCCCCGGTCGAGGAGGAGGGCAGCTCGGATCTCGAGATGGCCGAGAACTGGGAGGAGATCCCGGACCCGTGGCGCGACACGGAGCTCCAGCATCTGGTGCACGACGAGATGCTCGATCCCGTGGACAAGGAGATGTTCTTCGAGGGCCGCTACCTCATCGAGAAGGCTGCCATGGCCTGGCGCCGCGTCTCCCTCAAGACGATCGCGTTCCTCAACGTGCGCGCCAACTCTCGGATCATGACCGCGCTGTCGCCGGCGGTGGACCCGAACCAGTTCGAAGACGAGGGCCCCAACGTGACTCCGGACACGCGCGAGCACCCAGTACACCGCCGTCGCACCGGACAGAACGGAGTCGCTCACTACTGCCATTGCGAGGTGTGCAAAATCCGTCTCTGGATCCGCCGCGAGACCCCTGAAGAGATCTTCGAGGCAGCTCAGGCTCGCGGCCGTCGGGACAAGGAGCGCAAGGACCGCAAGACCATCAAGATGCAGGCCGAGATACTTGCCCAGAGAGCCAAGCTCGAGGTCAAGATGGAGCCGGAGCCACAGCCGCACGAGCCAGCCTACCGCGTCCGCCCGGTGCCGATCTCGAGGACTCTCGGAGCGGCCCCCAAGGTCAAGGCCCCCAAGGCTCAGGCAGGGGACCTGGAGGTGATCGCCGAGGCTCCTCCGTGCACTTCCTACTCGGCGGGCCGCGCGCCGGCGGTGAAGTCAGCGCCAGCAGATCCTCTCTTGGTCGGGTACAAGTCGCCACCGAAGACTCCGTGAAGCGGGACTTGGGTCAGGATGCTCGAGCCGCCTCCCTCGGCCAGGATCACGCACGCGGACGTCAGCAACATGATGGACAGCATCAGGAACGTACTTGCTCAGGAGCGCCAGGGAGTGCAGGAGGTCCGCGAGGCGATCATCGAGGAGGTGCGCTCCCAGAATGCGAAGGCCACGGAGGAGGCCATGTGCAAGGTGCTCAGCGAAGTGAGGCGCTGAGTCCTACGATGTTCACGCCAGCCTCCCTGCAGCAGGAGGCTAGAGACCGGATCTTATCGGATATCCATGATCGCTTCGGCACGGCCAGAGATCAGAATATATCAATGCGATCCGTCTCTACGATCGTCCATAGATTCAGGGGGGCTCCGATTCCTTACAATCGGGAACGACATTTCGGAGTCTGGGACACTTCAGATGGCAGCTCGATCGATCTAGATCATCTTTCAAAGACGGCGGGCTGGACGAAGCGCCAGCTCGAGTCGGGCGAGCTGGCGTCGTTTCTGGTGCACCTCGCGATCGCAGGCGCCAGCTCTCCTAGCACCCGGCTGGGACTACCGGCCGACGTCGCCAGGGTGCAGATCGGGATCAGCATCGACGATGACAAACCGTCTCATCATCAAGTCATCCTCGATCGTCTATGGAGTGGACTGTCTGTCCGGGCCTTAAGCTCGGCCCTCTCGGGAACTCAGCGT